CTTTGGGACGTCCTCCCGACGTGAAAAGCACTATATCAAATGCAAGGATTATTATTATTATTGGGCATTCGATTCAAGTTGCATAGCGTAGTTGGCATGCATTCATTCATGAGGGTGCATTTCTATAATGACACAGTGCCGCAGAATTCTGAACATGTCACACAATCTTTTTGCACTTAGACCCTGTGGACTACATATCGCAGTCAGAACAAAATCCAATGATTATCAGTCTCCGACTGCTGAAGAAAGCAGCAAGGTTAATTAAATATCCTAAGCAGGGCACTGGGGAAAAGAGATTTTTAACAGCAAGATTGGTGCAGAATACCATAGATTGAGTCAAATGCTGCACAAGAGATATTGCAGCATTGAGACATTTATAATTTGTAGCAAACTGAAAAAAAATAGGTGTAACATTTATGGGGATACAAATAGGGGGAAAATATTTTGATTTACATTACTTGGTGGATTGTTTTGATTTAAATTAAACAAATGTTTATGTGTGTATAATATATATTCCAGTTGTTTGTAATACATGAGGGAGATGGGAATGCATACATGAGAGAGAAGAGAATTGAGGGGTATGGAAGAGAGGATTAGGAAGGGTGATGTTCATGTGGAGAACAAACATCGGCATGGATGAGTTAGGCCAAGCTGTAACATTCTATATAATTCTACAACACAATTTGCATTTTATGTGTTTGGAAAGTTCTGTAACTTGCCAGGTTTGTTTTGTATTGAAATGTTGACTCTGTAATGAATTGAATTCATTGCAGAATATTAATAAATGTATTCTTTGTGTATGAAATATGATTGCACTGATTCACATCATCCTACAACAACAACAACAACAAGATTCCATTTATAGAGCGCCTTTCACGTCAGGAGGACGTCCCAAGGCGCTGCACAGTTGGGTCATGACCCGAGCAGGGGGGAAATGGTCAGGGTGAGGGGAGGGAAGGGAGGGAGAGAGGAGGGGGGAAATGGTCAGGGTGAGGGGAGGGAAGGGAGGGAGCGAGGAGGAGGAAGAGAGTCGAGAGGGGAGCTGAAGGCACGGTCAAAGAGAAAGGTTTTGAGACCGGCCTTGAAGGAGGAAAGGGAGGAAGCAAGGCGAAGGCACTGGGGGATGGAGTTCCAGAGCCATCCTAGCATCCTTTCAAAATTCATAATAATGAATTTGATAGCTCTGATTTTTTTAAATTAAAAAAGTGAACTAGTTGTACTTCAATTTAAGTAGATGCGATGGAATTCATGTTAGAGGCAGAATATGCAAACCTCTGGAAAGAATGAGCATAATGGACCAAATGGCCTTTACTCAGTTTGTATTTTTTATGTTAAAGTAAGATCCTGGTAACTCAACCCTGGCTTAACTTGTTACTACTACTTAAGCTGCCGTTCTATCAATATCCCAGGTGCTTCCCTTGCAAAATGTTAATAATGACTCCGCTTTACTTGACATTCCGCTTAACACGGAACTACTCACATTCTAGAAGTTCTTGTAAGTACTGACAATGTAAAACTGATCGTATAACTCGCCCTACAAGATGGTGTTTTGCATCACGGAGGACTCCCGCCCTATCCTGTGACTGGTGCGGGTTCTCGGTGCAGGTGAGCTTATGCCTAACTTGCCATTCTGGAGTACTTGTCATTGAGCTCTTTTCCCTTCAAGCGATGAGGTATCCAGAGTTTAATGTAATTGTTCTTCTTAATCCTAATAAAAAAAACGACTATTCTAAAACAAGTGAATTTTCTGCAAAAATAAGACGTAATAACAAGCTAAATAGGATTATTAAACTAAATTGTATCAAAATATAATAATCTTTGCATTTGATATAGCGGTTTTCACGTCTTCTAGACGTCTCAAAGTGCTTCACAGAATATACCGTAAAGTGAATTGACTGTATATTTTGTGGGTAAAATCGGCAGCCAATTGCACACAGCAGTGTCCCACAAACAGTCGTAGATTGAAGTGACCGATTTATTATTGGTTTTTTCTTAAGGGATTCTTGTCAGGCGTGTGGAGTAAGGAAACTTGCCCAACGTTTCATCCTGCCGGGAATCGAACCCAGGACTTTCGCTTGCGAGGCGAGTTCTCTAACCACTGAGCTACACGACTCCATGTAAAATAATATGTAAAATAATCTAAATATAAATGGAAGTGTTCCAGTTCGCAACACTTCTCTTGTTGAGTACATTTCCATTCATACTACAGAAAGAAATTTGAGCAACATAAAACACATATTTGACAGCTAAAGAAATCCAGTCATAAAAATGTAATGTGCGACAGGGACAAAATACATACTTTTTGTGAGGCTAATTAATTGCTGGAACAGGTTTCCAGGAAGGGTGGTTGAGGCCAGCCCATTGGACTCATTAAAAAGCAGTTTGATACTGTGATGGGAGAACAATAGGGTGGGTATTCAAAAAGGTTGAGATTGGATGGGTCAAAGAGCCTTCTTCATCCAAACTAATTGTGTTATCTTGTATTTTGTGCTAAGCAGAATATTGTTGCAACTAATGCCAAGATTGGAATAAAATGTGAAGTGGTTACACAAAAGAAATAAAATTATACTCTCAACATTGTTGTACTTTTTGTGGCTGTAAAGGAACTCTAGTGAATAGAAGTAATTTCATTCTTTCAAAAAACACAAGATTGAGCTAAAGCACGACCTCATGTTGTTCAGAATGTTATCAGATATTCAATACTGTGTGGAATTCTAGCAGATTCAAAAATGTATTAACTCCCTTAAAAGATCAGCAAACCTCAAGCTGGGTCCAAACAGAAAATTGAAAACAGTACCAATTGGGTACCCTAAAAGCTACCTAGAAAATCTCTCAGAAAGAATAAAATTATCACAGCTTATCTTCATCTGTAATGACAACATCGACTCACTGCCTGAGGCTGCAGAAATATCAGGCAAATCCCATAATCATTTGCATGTCTTTGGAATTCTAAATATGCAGTATCATTGTAAGGCTCATAAAGGCCACTGTTACATAGCACCATAGAAATTTACAGTCCAGAGGAAGGCCATTTGGCCCATGGCATCTGTGTGGCTCTTTAAAAGAGCAATGCATTATGTCCCTATACACCCGCAAGTTATTTATTTTTAGATATCTATCTAGTTCCATCTTAAAAGCTAATAGCGATCCTGCCTCGACCATCTCACTCGATAGGGCATTCTACTTTCTATCAACCCTCTGTATAAAAAAAATTATCCTAATCTCCCCCTTTGCTTATCTTAAATTGATGCCTCCTTCCTCCCTCTCTCCCTGGCTCATTGTCAGACTCCGCCACTGTCTCCACACTGCATGAAGGGCACTATTTAAATTCAAGTTGTTGTTGTTCTTATCACTGACTCACCAACGAGCAGAAATAATGTCTTCCTATCAACTCTGTCACAACCCCTCATAATTTTAAAGACCTCTGTTGCTTCCCTCAACCTTCTCTGTTCAAGTAAAAATAAGTCCAGTTCTTCTAGCTCTGGCCATATGTCAAACCACTCATCATGGGATTATCCAAATAAATTCAACACAGTAGAACAAGGGATAGAGAGTGGTAAAGGGCAATTTCAGGACTGATACTATGAAATATTTATTTACCCTGAGGAAAATTAATGACCTGAGGAAATTGCCAGGAAGGGTGGTTGAGACGAGGATGCTGAACTCATGTAAAATTCAGCTTGATGGTGTGATGACACAATGGTAGGGTGGGTTTTCTGGAAGGATGAAATCAAATGGGCTGAAGGACCTTCTTCATCTAAATCATTATGATCTTGAGATCCCCAGCTGTGTGGTAAAGTCTATATCTGGGCCATAGCCCCATAGCCACACATCTTTCCTGAAATAGGACACAACAACATAACTGCAATCTAACCTCCAATTTATACAGGTTTAGCATCATTTCTTTTGTTTTATATTTTACAGCCCTGTTTATAAAACCTAGGATCCCATTAGTTTTCTTAACAGCATTGTCTACTTGCCTTCCCATCCTTAAAGATTCACAAATAATAAACAATAACTAAGAACACATAGCTTGCCTGGGAAAGAATTATCCAGCAAGCTTTCCATCATCACTTTCCAGCTAGGACTACCTACCCATTAGGCATTGGCCTGTAGCATTAACAGGAGCCGAGTGTGAAAAGTCCCTGACCCCAGTGACTGGTCTGCCCTTCTAAGTCCTGCTGATGAGCCAGGCTGGCTGGGCTGTTACCAGGAGTGCCCTGGAATACTGTAGACCCACCTGGCTCAGAAACTCGACCACTGAGATCGCCAAGAGGGTTGACTGATTCCAACATTCCTCTGCCAAGCATGTCATCTTGGAGCCAGATCAGGTCCAAGGAGACCCCACTTAACTCCCCTCAAGGATGATTGTCACTAGTTGATCATTTAACATTTGGCAAGCACATGTTTGAGATGGATAGCAGGTACCTAAAACTCTCCACTAGCTTCATGGTGAACAGTACAACTCAAATGTGGGAGAGCAATACCACCAACCTCCTGCCCGCAGCTTAGACATATATCCCGACCTATTGAGCAGTTGGATGAAACCATAGATAAGACTTTAACAAGGAGATTGAGTTACTTCTCTTTGCAGCATACTGAAGAAAATCCTGTTAATGAGATCCAAATAATTCTGATTAACACTTGTATCTTATTGTTAAATATTCCTCTTACTCATTTACTATAAAACACTAGAATAAAAAAAATTTAAGTCCCTCTGTGAGTCACTTCCAGATCCAGTTGTTTTATTTAGATCCAGCATCAGCCTTAAGGCTTGAATTCTAAGAGAGAGGGAAATTAATAGTTAATTCAGTAGGGAAACAGAAGTTGGTATTGTTAACTGTGAAGCTAAATCCCCACATTGACATTTAAAAAAGCAATCACAGTAAGCAATGACAAAAGACATCATAAATTCTCTCAACAGGAATAATCCGAGACAGTAATAATTTAAAAATAAACACTTCCTGCAAGCTTGTCTCCACAAAGGATGGACCACGTACCTTTTGGGTTCTGACTGTTCATGTCACAGACTCTGCATTGTGGGTTCCTAAATGGCCATCCAGGAACATGTTCCACCAGCTTGCAGTACATTTCTGGGCCATTGAAACCACATGTGGCATTGGAACTGATTTCAGCCATACTGGCAAGATTCAGCACTGCTGGAAACAAACCTGACAAGAGAACAGAATAATGCATGTCAGCAGGAAGTTTCTCAATAATAACTCTTCATTTATTACAATGGCAAAATAGCACCTTTCACCAATGAAAGAATTTTTCAGCAAAACAACATTTTACATCACTACTGCAATACAATTCCCTGGTTCGTTAATATTACTGACAGCATAGACTGTCTGAAATACATAAAAATAATTATGCTGACATTTCATATAGAGTCTTTCATGTGGCGAGGACGTCCTCAAGCACATCACAGGATATATTGTAAAGTGCAGTGACGGTGTGTTTTGTGGACTAACACAGCAGCCAATTTGCACACGGTACCACAAACAGGCATGAAGCAAATGTCCAATTTTGTCAAAGGAATTGTTGGCCAAGAAAGCAGGAGAAACACCCTTCTTTTTTATAATAGTGCCATGGGATCTTTAATGTCAATTGAACGTGCAGACGGGGCCTCAGTTCAATGTCTCATCCAAAAGACAATGCACCAACACTCCCAACACTGCACTGGAGTGTCAGTTTAGAGTATATGAGTTCCAGAGACGCGAGTGCTACCAACTGAGCCAGGAGACAAATGGAAGCAGTGAAGCAAAGGATTGATTAATATTGCTCCCAAAATTCTTACCCATGATAAACTGATGTAAAATTAGGTTAATTAGAAAAAAAAGTAAAATAAACTTGTTAGTTTGGATTCACCAGCAAGTGGATATTCATGTTATTAAATCCTTTCATAATTTTAAACAATTCTATCAGGACCCTCTCAGTGATATAAGCTCCAAAGAGGTATGGAAATTCAAAAATACTCACACAATTTATTTCCATAAAAGGTCCAGTTGTTTTAAAGCTGACACAAGAATGTATATCAATTTTACCAATTATACATCATACACGTTTTCCACATGTCTATATCATAACGTAAATATTATATTACAGTTATTGTCATTATGTGCGTATATTAATAGACCTAATATAAAACAATGCCTTTATATAAATACACCTGTTGTTTTTTTACAAAAAATAATTCTCATATTTCGAGAGGGTAACACTTTTCAAAATGATCTCTTCTGTGTAATAATATTCTGACATCTTAATATTGAACAGCATGGGTACAATTTTCCTACAGAATACAGTCACTATACTTCAAGTAATTCCTGTGGAGCACTCTGAGAGGGGTTAGCAGCTCATACAAGTAGGAAGGAGCAAGGCTGTGGAGGTCCTTGAAGGTGAGGATGAGGATTTTGAAGTCTATCCTCTGGGGGATTGTAAGCCAGTGGAGCCAGCCGAGGGTGGAGGTGATAGAGTCACAGAGCATGGTGTGGGAGAGGACACGAGCTGCAGAGTTTGGGATGATTTGCAGCTTGTGGAAGGAAGAGTTGGGAAGGGCGACAAGGAGGGAGTTTCCGTAGTCGAATGTAGATGTGATAAATATGTGGATGAGGGTTTCAGCGAGCTGAGGGGAGAGGCAGTGACGAAGCTGGGCAATGTTGCAGAGTTGGGGGAAGGCAGAACGGGTCATGGCATGGATGTGGGGTAGAAAGTTTACAGTTGAGAGTCAAACAAGATGCCAAGGTTCTAGACTGGCTTAGTTAGGTGAAATGACTGTATATTTTGTGGGCAGACTGCAGCAGCAGTGTCCCACAAACAGCCATGGATTGGGTGTCCAAATTTCTTTTTTTTTTTGATTTTGAAAGGATTGTTACCCCTGGAAAAGCGATCCACCAATCAACTAACAACCGGGTTCCTATTTACTGTTAGATAAACAGAGGAATGTGGAGTAAGGAATCTTGTCCAATGTTTTACCCTGCCTGGGAATCAAACCTAGGTCCTCGCGCTTGCGAGGCGAGTGCTCTAACCACTAAACTACAGGACTCCACAACGTCGTATATCAAATGCAAGGATTATTCCTATTATTATTACTACAATTGTAAGGTCATCATCAGTTCATCACTTTTCATGTGATTTCGTGCAGTATGATTTTGTGCTTCCAGATTGTACCAGTGTAAATACCAAAATGTTTAGGGGTCAATAAATAAGCTGTCTGTAATTCACACAATTTTAAACAAAAAGGAAGAATTCCTGGTCCAATATTACTTTGCTCCAAAATAAAGCTTCTAAATTTTATACAATACATTCAAATATTTCTACCACATACTGTAATTTTACAATCTTTGGTATTTAATGTGTGTTTTATTTAAGAGCTGTGATTTCCATACTTATGTTATTCGTAAACATACATACGTTTAATTTTTTGTATAACTTGGCAATTGTTTGTTCTCTCAAAATTATGCTGGTTGCATCTGGACTCCTACATTACAGTTCAACTCTCTGGAGAAAATAAATGACTAATGCTGCTTTGAAAAAGACAATTTGCATCAAGGATGACCTGTGTCTGTTATTATATCTGACCCACAATGATGGATTCCTGCTGGAAGCACTCAAAAAGGTAACAGGGTATCATAATGTTGGCACTAGTGATGCTTCTGCACTAGAGCCAAGGATAGTGGCATTTATACAGACACAGCAGGTGTTCTATTGTTGTACCTTACATAAAATGTGGCCCAACGTGTTTTTTAACAATTTTCTACCCCATTGACAGCTTATGCTGAAGACATGCTAAACTGAATTACACAGAGCTTACTGTTCTAACTGTGAAATAGTCATTGTGCTCGTGAGCTTCATAAAGAATAAAATGTGGAAATGTGTACTGTCATAAATTTACTTTGAAGACAAGTGATTTTTTTACTTATTCTGCAAATGTCTGAGAGTATTTTAAAAAACTTGGGGGTTAAATTATCAGAAGCAGGGAGTAATAAACTCCTTATTGTGTGTGTGTGTGTTTCTATGGCTGGCGGGGTGAATCAAATTGTGATTCCATTGCTCGCCCTCTCTCTCAACCGTATTGTTGACCTGTGTAAGTGAAATCTCCGAACCATTAGAACTAACTACACAAAACAAGTTATTTATACTCTTCTGTTTCACATAATGATTAATGTAATTTTCTCTGTAATTCAGTAGAAGTGCCACAAACGATTAGTCCAAATACTTTTGAAGATAGATGCAACAATTTAGCTTCTCCTTATCTTGCTGTTGTTCAACATTCAATTTACACTGTGGCAAACGCAATATAAGAGACCAGTAATTCTTGGCAGCACAGAGGTCTGAAAGGTCCCCCCACCCCCATCAGCACACTGTACTGTCCAAGATATTGAGCAGAGAAATACTATTTATGTTAACTAAAGATGAGAATGTCAAGGAAAGGCTAATTTCCAAGCTATCCTTCTACAAAGCCTAGGTCTATTGATGGAGGCTGAGGAATATTTGCTCCCTTTCTCTACCATACTGCATCTGGGGATACCACGGCAGAAAAATAAGATTGCATTTTTTTACATCTCTTAAATCCAAGCTTTGCATGTTACTGTAAAGACAAATCATTACTAAAAAAACTAATCAATATTTATACAAGTCCAAAAGTTATATGTGTGCATATGTAAGTACTGAAATGGATATTGTTTGTTTGATCAAATGTTTAATTGTAAAGAACTTACTATATGATGAATAGCCAACCAAATATAAGTTTTGTCTATTCTCAGACGTGTAGACAGGACTTGGTGAAATTATTGGAAAACTGACACATAGCAGCCATGATCTAATAGAATGGTGGAACAGGCTGGAGGGTAGAATGACCTACAACAACAACAACAAGATTCCATTTATAAAGCGCCTTTCACGTCAGGAGGACGTCCCAAGGCGCTGCACAGTTGGGTCATGACCCGAGCAGGGGGGAAATGGTCAGGGTGAGGGGAGGGAAGGGAGGGAGCGAGGAGGGGGGAAATGGTCAGGGTGAGGGAAGGGAGGGAGCAAGGAGGGGGAAATGGTCAGGGTGAGGTGAGGGGAGGGAGGGAGCGAGGAGGGGGAAGAGAGTCGAGAGGGGAGCTGAAGGCACGGTCAAAGAGAAAGGTTTTGAGACCGGCCTTGAAGGAGGAGAGGGAGGAAGCAAGGCGAAGGCACTGGGGGATGGAGTTCCAGAGCCTGGGGGCTGAGAGGCTGAAGGCCCGACCACCGATGGTAGGGCGGTTGGGGCGGGGGACGTGGAGCAGACCGGAGCCAGAGGAACGGAGGGTACGGGCAGGTAGGTAGGGGGATAGTAGGTTGGAGAGGTAGGAGGGAGCAAGGCCGTGAATGGCCTTGTAGGTGAGGATGAGGATCTTGAAATCAATCCTCTGGGGGATGGGGAGCCAGTGGAGGCGAGCGAGGGTGGGAGTGATGTGGTCCCGAAGCCTGGTGCGGGACAGTACACGAGCTGCAGAGTTCTGAATGACCTGCAGCTTGTGGAGGGAGGTGGCGGGAAGGCCGGCGAGGAGAGAGTTCCCATAGTCCAGCCTTGAGGTGACAAAGGCGTGGACCAGGGTTTCAGCAGCGTGAGGGGTGAGGTAGTGCCGTAGTCTGGCGATGTTCCGAAGGTGATGGAAGGCGGTGCCAGTTGTAGTGCGGATGTGAGGGAGAAAGGACAGCTGAGGGTCGAACAAAACGCCGAGGTTCCTGACTGGCTTTGAGAGGTGGAGAGTGCAGCCTTGGATGCTGATGGTGTCAGCGCCTGAAGTGCGGAGGCGCTGACGTGAGCCAATCAGGAGGGCCTCGGTTTTTCGCACGTTGAGCTGAAGAAAGTTGTCTCTCGTCCAGGACTCGATGTCGGACAGGTAGGCTGTCAGGACATCGGTGGTCGTGGAGTTGAGAGTAGAGGAGGAAAGTAGGAACACGAGTAGGCGTGTTCCTACCTGTAGGAACACGAGTAGGCCATTGTGGAGTCCTGTAGCTCAGTGGTTAGAGCCCTCGCTTTGCAAGCGAGAGACCTGAGTTCAATTCCAGGCAGAGGGCAAAACCTTGGGCAAGTTTCCTTACTCCACACAGAGCCTAATAATAATCCCTCCAAAACCAAAAACAATAATAAAATTGGTCATTTTCAATCTACGACTGTTTGTGGGACATTGCTGTGCGCAATTGGCTGCCGCGTTCGCCCACAAATATACAGTCAATTCACTTTACAGTGTGTTCTGTGAAGCGCTTTGGGACGTCCTCCCGACATGAAAAGCGCTATATCAAATGCAAGGATTATTATTATTATTATTATTATTATTATATATATTCTCTTTTCCTTTCTTGAAATAATTTTTAAGAACAATAATTTTTCTCACGTTATCTCTCACTTTCTATTTTGGTTATCTTGGATTACGCACCACCTGATGGTGCAAAGAGAGTGAGTGACTTTCCTTGCCCTCCTTTACCCCTCCTTGCCCATCTTCTGATTGCACCTGAAAACTTTCCTCTTCAATCGTGCCTGCAATCACCTCCCCTTCCTCCCTGGCTCAGCGTCAAACTACGCCACTGTTAAGTGCTCCAAGATCCTACACCACGTTATGGGCACTATAGAAGTGCAAGTTGTTGTTGTGGCCTTTTTGCCCCATCTATCCATTTTACAATATATTACAATATACTCTGTGAAGCTCTTTGAGATGCCTCAACGATGTGATAAGGTGCTACATCAAATGCAAGGACTATTATTATTAGAAGTCCTGTAGCTCCGTGGTCAGAGCACTCATCCAGCAAGCAAGAGATTGGGTTCGATTCCCGA